AATTCACCATTATTCCTGAAGGGATAGTTGAAGATGTTCTAGTTAGGGTGGATAAGTTTGTGTTTCCAGTAGATTTTATCATGATGGACATGGAAGAAAATAAAGAGGTTCCATTAATTCTTGGCCGACCATTCTTAGATACTGGCAGAGCAATACTCGATGTGTATGAAGGGAAACTTATGCTTAGATTTGGAGAGGAAAATGTAGTATTCAATATGAAGAAGGTGGATGAGCTAATAGTTAAGACAACCATGTCAGATAGAAAGATAACGACATGGGTGCGTGCGTTTGGCCAAGCCTGCACAATGGACCCAGACACTGTTTTTGACACCGACTAAAGAAAATCAGGGAAGTTTCCTTTACTTTTGTAGTTTCTTTATGCCATGAGGACATGTCATAGCTTAAGTGTGGGGCGAAAAAGTTGTAAATAACTAAAAAAAAAATCTTTCTAGGGTAACTTATTTGTTGTACTAATATGAGTTTCTTGTCTGATTCTTTTACCATAGTCGTATTTATTTTGAATCAGATTTTTTTTAGGATAAGAATTGTTGCATAATTGTTGAACAAGTGCTAGAGATATAAATTGATTGATTCCTATCTAGAGGTTGTATTGATTGCTCAATTGAAATTTGCTTACTTGTTGGCATGTGAAGTTGACGCATTATCAATCCTTGAATATTGTGTGGTGAGAAGATCTTGATATGTACTCATGTTTGAAAGAATCTAGAACTTGACATGGTAGTTTTTTGAGGCGAAATTCTAGGACTTTTCTAAGGAAGAATATGATTATAGGCTTTCTTTGATTAACCCACTTCTAGCCTTAATTCACAAACCATTGATGATAAGTATCCCTAGTCAATCAATTTGAGCCTTATAATAATCCATTTTCTTTGATTAGTTGATACATCTCTTTAGTCTAATCCCCCTATGTGTTACTCTCTTAATTGGAATTATAAGTGGAAGTGTAGAGAATTGAATTATGAAAACAAAAAAACAACTGAACCTAGTCATGTGTGAAAAGTAATGAAAGTTGTTGAATGTGTTTTCAAAAGAAGATGAAAGGTGTCAAAAGAAAAAGGAAGAAAAAAAAGAGTGAAAAAAAGAAGGGGTATATGACTTTTTATTTTCATATTTTACAAACACCCTTGTCAAAAATTACACTTGTGCAATTCCTACATGATTTTAACTTGAGAAGGCATACATTAGTGGAGAATTACTCGATTGCCAATTCTATGATATTCTAAAAAAATATGATGTATTTCTTTGTGAGAGTGAGTGAAATGAGAGATTGTGTTTGTGATGTATGAACAAAACTTTGTTAATGATAAAATCACATCTTCTTTGTTGTGGAAAAATTCATCGATTGATTTTCGCTTAAATTTCATTGTCGATGAGTAGTCATTTAACGATGAATATTGCATGCGCCTATAGGGATGGTTGAAGTCAATTACTTTTCTAGTAATTTGTGTGTCAAAATCTAGAGGGGGTCAAGTTGTTCTAATTTGCTTGGGACGAGCAAAAGCTCAAGTGTGGGGGTATTTGATGGGTAATTAAATGAGATGACTTTAGACAAGTTTTGAATGTAAACTTTGCAATTAATTGTCTATGATTCATATGTGTAGGTGTGCAAATTCAAGTGTTGAACATGATTAGTGAGAAAGGCCAATAAGAATGCTAAAGAAAGAAAAAGAACAAAAATGTGCATCTGCTAAGTTATTGCCCGCCCGCGTGGTGGTCGCGCACTCAAGTGTCCATCGGCGCACCCGTGCAGAAACATTAAAAAAGTTGTTGCCTCTCCGCGCGCCGGTCGCGCGCTTGGGCTTCCAGTGGCGCGCCTACGCGACGTAAAGACATAAAATCATTAAAGGAAGGGTGTTTTGGAATTTCAAAGGAAACCCTATGCTATATGATATTAGAGCTTGCCCTTAGGGTAAAAGGATCAAGAAAAAAAAGCAAAAAGAAACGCTAGGTTACAAAGAAGAGGAGGTGGAACACGCGGTACACTACTCGAATCCAAAACGAAAGTTGGGATTCAAAGTTTGATTGCTATGTCTTCTTTTTCATCTTTGTTCTTAGTAAACTTATTCTTCTCCATGGAGTAGATTCTTAGAGGGTATTTGACAAACATGTTGTATTGATGAATTTGTTGGGATTTTGATTTTTCATTCTTATGCTTGAACTTGTTATGGAAGTTTGAATTGAATTGCGACCCTATTCATTATTTAATTTAATTGAAAGAAGAATATCTTGGTGAATATTGTTGCATAGTTTTGTTTGATTGAATCAATATATTTTCTCTAAAGTAATCGAAGGAGCTTGTTGATAATTATTGATTAAATCTCAAGGAAAAATAGTCGAATGCCATTACTTTCTTAAGAACAATCATTAACATATTTTTGCATATTAGAATCATTGGGGTATAATTGGTTTATTCTTTAACTTGAGATTTACTCAGAAGAAAAATTCAAGACTTAAGGATACTCTAATAAGCTATCAAATTCGAGAGAATCGATAGAACTTTAAATGTGATAAATGAATGTGGTCAAATCCCAACTCTCATTATGCACTTGTTTCGTCTTGTACCTTATCTTTTATTATTGATATTAAACTTCATAGTTACAAATTATTTTTAATTATCATTTAGTCTATAAAAGTCGTTCATAACCACAACCAACGCCTTTCTTTTGATCACCTGAATAATAGTTAGCAAGATTTGATTGAATTATTATTTGTACGGATCCCTGTGGAGACGATTTTTATACTATACTATTTTTTACTAGCGAAGTGCTAAACTGATAGTGTATTTGTGCTCGTCAGCTATTATTATGTTTTGTGTTGTTAGTTGTTACCTTTTCTCAAATAGTAATTATAATATAATATTTTTCCTATAATATTGGTTATTAATAATTTTTTAAATAATAATTACAATTTTTCTCTCTCTATTATTGGTTTTTCATTAAAATTTATTAGTAAAATCATTGAAAGTTTTACTTTTGCTTATATTCTTTGTAATAAAATTATAAAATTGAATATATGAGATGTACTCCTCGTAGATCCATGGAACTTACATGTCGCGTCTCGAGACTTATGCCTCATTAGAATTTCATACCAAATATGACTTCCTCCATACCAACAACACATTTCTTTCTGGGTTCATTATATCGATGAGTGTAATTAAAAAATCAATTGTTTCTTCGTTCATTATACAAAAGGTATATGATACAATAAATTGTGTCCCCCCCCCCCCCCCCCCCCCCCCCCCCCCCCCCCCCCCCCTCCAACAT